CCCAGCTACTCGAGAGGCTGAAGCAGGAGAATCGCTTGAATCTGGGAGGGAGATGGAGGTTGCAGTGAGCCGAGATCGCACCACTGCGCTCCAGCCTGGGTGACAGAGTGAGACTTCGTCCCCCTTGTCCCCCCAAAAAGAAACTCATGTCAGGAGGGGGTTAAGTAGGCTATCCTGGAGTGGAAAAGGGTTGGGAAGAGCCAGGGTCAGAGTCCAGGATGACCAGGCCTGGTCCTCTCGGTCTGGGGCTGACAGGCCAGCCCACACAGCCCATCCTCTGCTTGTGTGCCTCTTGAGGGCTACTCAGATTTTCCTGTGGTTAGAAGATATATTCGGCTTCATGATAGTGCAGAGGATTTAAATTTTTTTTTTTTTCTTTCTGAGATGGAGTTTCACTCTTTTTGCCCAGGCTGGAGTGCAGTGGCGCGATCTTGGCTCACTGCAACTTTTGCTTCCCTGGTTCAAGTGATTCTCCTGCCTCAGCTTCCCAAGTAGCTGGGATTACAGGTGTGAGCCACCATGCCTGGCCTGTATCTTATTTTTATCTTGTTAAAAAAATTTTTTTTGGCCGGGCGCGGTGGCTCAAGCCTGTAATCCCAGCACTTTGGGAGGCCGAGGCGGGCGGATCAAGAGGTCAAGAGATCGAGACCATCCTGGTCAACATGGTGAAACCCCATCTCTACTAAAAATACAAAACATTAGCTGGGCATGGTGGTGCGTGCCTGTAATCCCAGCTACTCAGGAGGCTAAGGCAGGAGAATTGCCTGAACCCAAGGAGGCGGAGGTTGCGGTGAGCCGAGATCGCGCCATTGCACTCCAGCCTGGGTAACAAGAGTGAAACTCCGTCTCAAAAAAAAAAAAAAAAAGAAAGAAAAGAAAAAAAGAAAAGAGATCGAGACCATCCTGGCCAACATGGTGAAACCCCGTCTCTACTAAAAATACCAAAAAATTAGCTGGGCATGGTGGCACACACCTGTAGTCCCAGCTACTCGGGAGGCTGAGGCAGGAGAATTGCTTGAACCGGGGAGGCGGAGGTTGCAGTGAGCCGAGATTGTGCCACTGCACTCTAGCCTAGCGCCTGGCAACAGAGTGAAACTCTGTCTCAAAAAAAAAAAAAAAAAAAAAAAATTTCTCACGTGAGATCGCACCACTGCACTTCAACCTGGGCAAAAAGAGCGAAACTCCATCTCAAAAAAAATTAAGATGTAGAAGAAGGCTAAAGGGTTTTGGAGCCCACTGAATGGGCGTGGCTTTAAATCTTTGCAGACAGACCACCATCTTCGCTAGAGCATACTGCTTCCGACCCGCCTCATCGCCCTTCCTAAGAAGTCGCCCTCCACAGCTTAAGCACTGCTGCCACCCTGTGGTCACAACTCCTCACTGCCAGCTCCGGCCATTTCCTTTTCCTAGAATCTACAGCTCTGCAGAGGAAGCGAGGAGGGTGAGGCTGAGTGGAGGTGCTAGGGTCTAGACTTCAGGGAGTCCCAGAAGGACAGGAGCAGGCTACTGTGGGGCTGGACTATCATTCTGCCTCCTCTATCTTTGGTTACCGCAGCCTCTGCCTGGCTCTGGCTCTGACCTATTAGGGTAGCCTGGAATCCTGTCTTAGGAAAAATCACAATCACTAATCCTCAGGGAAAGGCCTTCAAAGCCTATAGTGCAGGTTCCTTCTAATCCTACAGTCTCTTTCTGAGCATCCCCACCAGTGTGGGTCTCTAGCCTGTGCTGAGGAAGAGCCATGATGTAAAGGCTTTGGACTCTGCTTTGGCAAACTGTCTCTCGCTCTGGGCTTCAGTTTCCTTACCTAAAACATGGGCCCATTTGACAAGGAACTGCTTTCTAGGGTATGCATTATTATTATTATTTTTTTGAGACGGAATTTCACTCTTGTTGCCCAGGCTGGAGTGCAATGGCGCGATCTCGGCTCACCGCAACCTCCGCCTCCTGGGTTCAGGCAATTCTCCTGCCTCAGCCTCCTGAGTAGCTGGGATTACAGGCATGCGCCACCATGCCCAGCTAATGTTTTTGTATTTTTAGTAGAGACGGGGTTTCACCATGTTGACCAGGATGGTCTCGATCTCTTGACCTGGTGATCCACCCACCTCGGCCTCCCAAAGTGCTGGGATTACAGGCTTGAGCCACCGCGCCCGGCTTAGGGTATGCATTATTTAACATACATTTTGTAATCCATTCAGCACAACAGCTGGCATAGAACAGGTATCCTTAAACATTAGCTGTGATTACCTCACACGCCCCCGCTGGGGAACTTACCATCTCCTGAGACAGTCTTCAGACATATTTATCCTTGTGCCAAGGGGGCTTTGGGCTTCCTGTGGCTTCTACTAGGGGTTCTTAGTTTGCTTCATTAAGTCTCACAGAACATCTCTCATCTCTTTCATGTGTATAAGCTCTTCATATTTTTGAAGACAGTTCATTCTTCCACTCCAGCCTTTTTTTTTTTTTTTTTTGAGACTGGTCTTGAACTCCTGACATCAAACAATCCAACCACCTTGGCCTCCCAAAGTGCTGGGATTACGGGCGTGAGCCACCGTGCTCGGCCCACTCTGTAGTCTTTTTTGCTCAAGGGGAAGCACCCCACTCTTTAAGGCAAGGGATCTAGGAACCAACTTACCCTTTAGATATGTAGATTAGAGCAGGTCTGTATCTATCTGGATGCTCCAAATACCATATATCTTATTAATGTAGACGGAGCTAGGGTGAATCTTTGTAAGCTTTGTCTCATGGTTGGTCCCAAGCATAGAGCCTGACATTCATCATCATGACGTCTTGTAGTTTACCACCGTTTTTTTTTTGAGACAGAGTTTTGCTCTTGTTACCCAGGCTGGAGTGCAATGGTGAAATCGCAACTTTCACGTCCTAGTTCAAGTGATTCTCCTGCCTCAGCTTCTCTAGTAGCTGGGACTATAGGCGCCCACCACCATGCCCAGCTAATTTTGTATTTTTAGCAGAGATAAGGTTTCTCTATGTTGGTCAGGCTGGGTCTCAGAACTCCCAATCTCAGGTGATCTGCCTGCCTCTGCCTCTGCCTCCCAAAGTGCTGGGATTACAGGCGTGAGCCACCTTGCCCGGCCAGTTTACCACTTCTTGAAAGGGAGCATCAGTGGCTCTTCTGTGGGCAGTAGCTGCTGCATCCCATCATGATCCTTGTCTGCTCCTATCTGACAGAGGTCCAGAGGCGCAGTGGCGTGAGGGTGGATGGGACATTGCAGAGCTGGCTCTCCGCCAGACAGAACTCAGTTGTAACTCTAGCTCTCGCACTTCACTGTGTGACTTGGCCAGAAATTCATCATCAATAAAATGAAGTGACTATTCCTGTTATCATGAGGTAAAGAATAAAGCATTCTACCATCCCATGTAGCATAGGGCAGCCACTCAATGTTTACCATCCTGCTGCTTCTGGTATTTCTCTAAACATCAATTACAAGTGGCTTTGAGCTGAGCTTCATTCAGAAAGAGGCTGGTCTAGCTGGCTTCCTGTGTCCAGGATGGAGGTGAGTGGTCTCCTCTGAAGTTGGAATAGGTCAGTCCCTCTAACTTGGTAAACTGCCCAGTCTTCAGTTCATTCCCACCTCCAAAACCTCATAATGTGGGCTTTGGTATTTGGCTTTCAGCAATTTCCTTTCTTACCCTTCTCTGGACCCCCATGTGCTCCTGGCTGTAACATACTGAAGACCACCACTGCTTTTCCCACTCTCCTCAGGAGGCACAGGCTGTTTGTGTCACATGTCTACCAAACACCAACCATATATAGCTTCTTTTTTTTTTAATTTTTTTATTTTTTTGAGACGGAGTTTCGCTCGTTACCCAGGCTGGAGTGCAATGGCACGATCTCGGCTCACCGCAAACTCCGCCTCCTGGGTTCAGGCAATTCTCCTGCCTCAGCCTCAGTCCTCAGCTGGGACTACAGACACGCGCCACCATGCCCAGCTAATGTTTTCTAGTTTTAGTAGAGACGGGGTTTCACCTTGTTGACCTGGATGGTCTCGATCTCTTGACCTCTTGATCCGCCCGCCTCGGCCTCCCAAAGTGCTGGGATTACAGGCTTGAGCCACCGCGCCCGGCCATATATAGCTTCTTAAATCATTTCTCTCCTACTGGGAAATTCCAGAGACTCCTGCTATCTTTGTCAAGTTCTTCAGCCTGTCTCACTGTTCTCATTTGTGATGTTAATTATAAAGGAATAAACAGATGCAAGAAATTATCTGTGATTTCCCTACACCTCTTCCTGATTCCCACAGGCTCTGAGCATTACCTATTTTTCTTGTGAACTCTTGACCTGCTTCTTTTTTTATGAGACGGAGTTTCACTCTTGTTGCCCAGGCTGGAGTGCAATGGCGTGATCTCAGCTCACTACAACCTCTGCCTCCCAGGTTAAGGCGATTCTTCTGCCTCAGCCTCCCGAATAGCTGGGATTACAGGTGTGTGCCACCACATCCAGCTAATTTTTGTATTTTCAGTAGAGATGGGGTTTCATCGTGTTAGCCAGGATGGTCTCAATCTCCTGACCTCGTGATCTGCCCGCCTCAGCCTCCCAAGTGCTGGGATTACAGGAATGAGCCAGTGCGCCCAGCCTAGGGCTGGTTTTTTTTTCTTTTTTAATGGTTGGGTGGGGGTTGTCGACAAAACACTGAAAAGTAAAACGCCATTTGCCATCAGCAACTCTCCCACCTGCCATCCACATAAAGCACATACTAAGTTTTCTGGTGAGTGCTTGCTGCCAGGATGCCAAGGGCCCTTGTCTCCAAGGCAGTCCACAGGAGCTCTGCCCTGGGCCTTCTGTCGTATTTCCTAAGTGATAGAAATCATCCACCTACTCTAGGCTGTGTCTCCCCTGCATAAAAACTAGAGACAAGAATCCCTGTTCCTTCTGTCCTAAGAAATGGGGGAGTAAGGAAGTTGACAGACCGAACGCCCAGTGACCTCCCCGAAGAGTGGACAATGGGACCTGTAGATAGAGTAGTGAAGCATCAGACATAACAGTGGTTCACTTGATAGTTTAATGTTATATTTGCAGCATAAATAAGGCACGACATATGCCAGGGCAAGGGGGGGAGGGAGAAGGCATGGCTGGGGGATAACTGCTAAGTGGCAAGGGGGAAAGGAAGATGGTAGTTAGGGTGAAATAGAGCGAAGCCCCTGCCTCAGCCCCATCCCGGGAGATTGTGAGAACCAGCTCACAGGGATCATGCTGAATCAGGTGGAGGGGAAAAGGGAAACGACAGTTTTGTAACAAAAAATAAAATAGCCTGTAGCACTGCATCCTCCTACCTGTCAAAGGCCACCACTGGGCACTGGGGAGACCCAGACCGAGTTGAGTTCCTTGATAAGATGGAGAGGTGTTGCCACATGTCAAAAATATATAGCTGAACAGAGATATAATCATAGATACACACTGCTTCCTTTTCAATAGATGCTATGTTAGGATGCGGCAGCCTCCACTCTTGGGGCTCGGGGTTCATCTCCTCCCTGCCTGACAGATGTGTGTGCTGTGGGGGAGGAACGGGACAGCTGAAGCTCTGGCTGGTCCTTACTGTAACAGAGAGCACGGAGTGACCAGTCTGTAAGGAAACATGGGACAACTCCTGTCCAGACCAATGCATGGCTTTAAGGATACGAATAGAAAGAAGATAAATCTGGATTTTGAGATCACTGATATAATGGTGATTGTTTTAATGGGAATGGAGGAAGAGGCTGAAAGAAATGGAAGAATGTTAGTGCAAAGGCAAAAGATGTATTCGAAATATCCTCCACACCTGTAAGAATTTCCCAGCTTATCCCTAAGAAATGGCTCTTGGCCGGGCATGGTGGCTCACGCCTGTAATCCAAGCACTTTGGAGGCCAAGACGGGCGGATCACCTGAGGTCGGGAGTTCAAGACCAGCCTGACCAACATGGTGAAACCCCATTTAAAAAAAAAAAAAAAAAAAAGGTTCTTAACTTTCAGTGTGCATTAGAATCACTGGGAGTGCAAATCCTGCCCTCAGAGTGTGTGATTCAATAGGTCTGAGATGGGGCAAGAGAATGTGTATTTTTAACAAGTTCCCAGATGATTGTGGCACTGATGCTGCTGGTCCTGGACCATATTCTGGGACCACTGCCCTAAGGTCAAGTCAGTGAAACTATTGCTCATAGCCACTTCTTACAGATAAAACATCACTCACCAGTAGCTACTGCTGATGAGTTATCTCTGTGCTATTAGCCCCCTATTAAAAAAATAAGCCCTGGTAGCTATGATACAAACCTGCATCTACAAAGGACATAAGCTGCTGGAACCTGCCATACTCTCCCCAGCCTTTTCTCATTCTGGGGTTGGACTTCACCCCAAAGAGAGACAACTCAATTGGTGTGGAGGGTGGTAACGGCGGCCAGCAGCTGCCTATGCTCATTCCTACTGGGTCGTCACCTTGGTATGGACTGGGGGAATTTATGTCTATATGCACATTTGTGGGTACAGACAGACACAGAGAGAAATCAGTCCTGTACTATAAGAGGGATGACTAGAGGCATGGGAGGCTGTAGTGGGGTGGAGGGGGTCCTTTCATCTGCTTTAGAATACTTACCTTTCCTGTTCTTCCAGACGCCCTCACCCCCGTCAAATGTAAGTGTAAAGAAAGCAGAAAGGGCATATGTGATATAGTTAGGAAGACTGGAATCTAAAGAGACTGGTTATGAAATTAAAAAAAAGAAATACCATTTCTTTCCTGTGTATACAATGTACAGCATTAATGGAAAACTAATGATTTGGGGATGGGAAGGAGCTGATGAAAAAAGGAGAAAACTGGCGGGGACAGCTGTCTCGGGGGCTAGCACCTTTAGGAGCCTCTCAGTGTGGAGCAGGGGAGCCCCAGAAACCTCAGGAATAATTTTTTGGTGTCTGGTGGTTCAGGCTGTACATAGTGCACAGTTGGGGTCAAGACTCCATCTACCAGGATGGGTGGTGCCAGAAAGCAGTGAATCAAGAAAGGAACAGAACATGTGACAGAGGTCATATGTAAAACAACAACAGAAAAGGAACAGAACAGGGAGAGCGGAGTGAACGAGATGAGGTTCAGTTAGCCCAGTCCCTCTTCACCACTACTTGAAGTACATGGTCTAAGCTTAGGGCCAAGGAGAGAGGTGAAGGCTTAGGAAGTCAGATTTGGGGTGCATAACCAGCAGCAAAAAGAGTAAGTAAAGGGGGTATGACTTTTTTTCGGCCTCTCTAGTAGTGTGGGAGGCTTTCTCAGACTTTTCAACTCTAAGCAAGCTTTCTGTTAGGGGAATGGGCCAGAGAGTGAGCAGACCAGAGGACCTGGTTCTGGCCCCTTCCTCTGTGGCCTTGGGTACGTGGCAGCTAGCTAGGGTGCTTATTATGTATCTGGCACTCACACTGGAGTGGGTGGGAAGCCTGAGTCCTGTATTCACTGAATTCAGGACACCCACCATACATTCAGCTCCTTTCCGAACGTGTCCTCTCTTAGGCCTCTAGAAAGGCCATGGACCTTAGGAAGGGCCAAGTGACACCTTCCATGATGTTTGGTTCTGGTCCAGATGAGTCTGGAAGACAAAGATTGGGGGAGTGATCACATGGCTGGTAGCAATAACAAGGCGAGTGACTTCACCTTTGACTATCAGGGAAGCTTCAGGGTAAGCAATTGTTCCGCCTCCTTAGTGAGACGGAGAACCAACTCAAGAGCTATGTCGGGACTCTGACCTGCTGCTTCCTTATTTTAGTGCCATTTCGTTACTGTTTCGTTATTGTGGTTCTGACATTGCTCCTTGTTTAGGTCCCATATGCAAACTTCCCACTGATAAAAATGAAGTTAGGACTAGAAAATGAAGTTAGTCACGGGGGCTAAGAACTAAAAAAGACCCTCACATAAATTAGCCACTCAACATAGGGACAGACTGGCAGGGCATGTATGCAGTGACAAACTGATTCTTAACTTTAAAAACACTTGACTGAAGGGGGAGAAAAATAGTCAAGAGTCTTAGGAAAGCTCCTTAGGAGCCATAAACTCAGTCAAGCCGTAGAGCAAGGCTGCTACTGGGAAATCAAGACAATAAAAAGATGAAACAAAACTCTAAAGCAGGAGAAAAATCCCAGGGAGCAGCCATCCAAAGAAGTCCTGAGCACAAGTTATGGCTGTGAATTTTTAAAGGCAAAAGTGAAGTCCCTGGAGGTGGAAACCTGCATCCTGACCATCTGTCATAACATTTGCTAGTCTGAGTCACTTCAGGGGCTATTCCAGTTAGGTACCTGGTGGTAGAGGATGAGAAAACCATGTTTTCTCTCCTTTGTCTTTAGGGGTGTGGCCTGTTCAGCACCAGCCCTGAAAAGCAGGAGGGGAAATTTAAAACAAACGCAGCAGAACATGTTACCTGACTGGTTCACTAGGATAGGATATCACTTTAAGGATATGGGAATCTTGTGGCTTAGAACGTTTTCTCATTCCCCTGTGACAGTCAATTTTGGAGACAAAATAAGAAAGGAAGCTGGCAGTCATTTTGTACGTACGTTTAAGATGGAGGTAGGAAAGATGGCGAGAAGGACATTCTTGGCTTGCACAGATGGCAGAAGGTGGCTCTGGGACAACTGGAAGGGTTTCACATGGAGAGGCTATTAAAGCTGACCTGTCTATCCACAGGCCTCTGGCTCTGAATTGCTTCCTACGGTCCTGGTGGAAACTGCAGAGTTCAGAGCCAAGGGGAGATGAGAAGCTTTCACGTGGAAGAAAGAGGGACAAGAGGGATGAACTGCTCCCCCTGCAACCCAACTCTTCAAAGTAAGAATGGCTGAAAGCAATAGTCACCAATTTCCCAGGCCAGACTCTGGGGTTCTTTGCTGGGAACAGTTCTGTACTTTCCCTCTTCCCTTCATCCCTCCTTTCAATCTTATACTCAAGTCAATCCACTCAGGACCTTGGCTATGATGCTTCAAGATCCTGGAGCATTGCACGTAGGGGAAGAGAGCAGAAATGGGTTGAAGAAACTCTAGAGGATCTGGAAGACCTAGTGGCTCAGCTAGGAACCTGGTGAAAGAGAAAGAAGGTAGTCCAGATGGTGACGGGCACTTGTGAACAGAAGACTCTAGTTCAGAAAAGAAGACAGATGTATGAGGGGGAGACATGGGGTACAAGTCCTCTACATGACAGCCTCCAGGAGGGCTGTGTCTGAAGTAGTTACAGAAGAGAGGCAGAGGCGGTAATGCTGATGGGAATGAAGAGGCAGAGGCAGGAGCAGAAAGATGACAAAAGATAACAATATGTACGCTTTGGCTGGTAAACTCTTATAAAACATAAAGGAATCAATTAATCCCTAACCTGATGGAACAAGCCTTGAACTGCTTTGTTCCTGTCTGCCCTGATGATTAAAACTGAAGGGAGAGGGAGGGGAGGAGATAGAATCGGCCAGTCAGATCCTGGGCCCTTCCCTTTTCACTACCAAGCAATCTTTAATAATAAGGCCACAAAATGAGGTTGCCAAGGACTAGTGGGGTGGTGGTAAAGACCTCACCACTACACTAGATAAAGTCAAGTGACAAAATGAGGTACCCAAATAGCTCTGGAAATAGATGAAAAAGAATTAGAATTCTTGAGGGTTTTTTTCTTTTTGCTTTTTTTTTTTTTGGTGGCAAGTAGGGAGAAGGAATAAAGCTTATGGAAGAACTGGAAAATACTGCTGCTTCATACATCAAAGGTAACCTCACATTCTCCATAAGTAAATGTTTTAACTAGAATTAAGGAAGGGAAAAAGGAAATGGGTAAAGAAGCAGCAGTGGGAGACAGAGTCCTGAGTCCACTGGGTGGCTGGGGCTGGGTCAGCGGGTGATATGCCATCAAATCTAGCCTCCCTCTATCTGGCAGGAAGTGGCATGCTGGTAAGGAACAAAAAGGTAACAGCCACGGCTTAGTGGGAAAAGAGGGAGCTGAGAAACCCCAAACCTAGAAGTGCCAAGGGTTAGTGTTAAAAGAGACAGATACACGTGCATGGGGCAGGGGTGATTGTTCGGACCGTCTGGAAAGGCCTTTGGCTGTGGGTGCATCAGAAACCCCACCCTTGGGGATGATCTATGAGGCTCTGGGGCTGGGAGGCCCCCAGTACAGGTGTCAAACATACATGACCATGTGGCTAAAAAGCCTAAAAAGCCCCATATCTGTCCATTACTCACAACACACAATTCCCCCCCACCGCATATTGCCATGTCCAAGGCAGATGGGAGGGCGTAAGATGACATTTCTCTTGGCTCTTGGGTGGCGAGCTCTGGCTGGGAACCTCTTCACCAGAGGAGGCATCATCTGCCCGCAGACTGGGACTGTGGGGTCATGATCACATGCGATTGTATCGGCATGCTCAGTTCTGTCCTTTGGCTGGCCATCTGAGTGAGGACTGAGGTGGCCACAGCTTCAGCTGCAGAGCGAACACTGAGGCCATTGCTAGGGGCTGTTGCTGAGCTGTGCTGAATCACAGGGGCTGGAGAACCCGTTGGCTCTGAGCTTTCCTTGGGGCTTTCTGCCAGGAAGGAGGGCAAAGGGCAGAGAACAATTGGTTAGAAAACAGGATGGGGAAAGAGGCATGACTACCTTTTGCCATAGTTCTAAAGAAGCCCAAAGGGGAAATGAAACTCATCTTTTTTTGGGGGGAAGCTTCCCAGAATCCTGGCTTCAAAGTCATAAACGGCCTAGGAAATGGGAAGTTTGTAAGAAGGGAAGAACTGGCCAAAATCAACCTATATATCCCAATAAAATGAACCTCCAACATGATCATTACACTGTCTGGTTTCTAGGTCTTTGCATACTTCGTTACCCATATTTAGAACACTCATGGAACAACTCTTCTTCTTAGTCATTACTTTCTTTCTTTCTTTTTTTTAAGAGAGAGGGTCTCAAGCAATCCTCCTGCCTCTCAAAGTGCTGGGATTATAGCGTGAGCCACCATACCTGGCCTTCATTTCTTTAAAGGTGATTTAAAATAGATCTCTCTTAGGCTGGGCATCACCAGGTCAAGAGATCAAGACCATCCTGGCCAACATGGGGACAGCCCATCCCCCTGCCTCAGCCTCCTGAGTAGCTGGGATTATAGGCACGCGCCAGCATGCCCAGCTAATTTTTTGTATTTTTGGGAGAGATGGGGTTTCGCCATGTTGACCAGGATGGTCTCGATCTCTTGACCTCGTGATCCACCCGCCTCGGCCTCCCAAAGTGCTGGGATTACAGGCGTGAGCCACCGCGACCGGCCGAAAGGCAAACTTTCAATAGTCAGTTCTATTTCTGACTTCCTGATGAATGCCTGAGTCTTCTTTTAAGATTCAGATATTGCCTCCTCTGTGAAGCCGTCTTTGTTACTCTCAGTAAATTAACTGTTTTATTCTTTGTGTTTTCATAGCATATATTCATCAAATATTTACCGAGCATCATCCATGTACCAGGCACGGGTACACAGAGAAGAAAACAGGGATCCTGTCCTTAGGAAGCTCCCAGTTCAGGGAATCCTTGACTGGGATATTTGTCCTTAGCTTATTCACAGGTTTATATGACCCTATGAATCTCTCAGAGGTAGTGACAATGTCTTATTTATCATGTGTCAAGTACTTACACAATGTCTATACCACACAGCAGGAACTAAATACATCTTTGCTATAATGAATAAGTAAGGCCAGGCATGGTGGCTCATGCCTGTAATCCCCGCACTTTGGGAGGCAGAGGTGGGTGGATCACATGAGTCCAGGTGTTCAAGAACAGCCTGGGCAACATGGCAAAACCCCGTCTCTATTAAAAATACAAAAATTAGCTGGGCATGGTGGTGCCCAACAACTCAGGAGGCTGAGGCAGGAGAATCACTTGAACTTGGGAGACGGAGGCTGCAGTGAGCCAAGATAAAGCCACTGTACTCCAGCCTGGGTGACAGAAAGAGACTCTGTCTTAAAAAAAAAAAAAAAAAAAAAGAATAGGTGGTTTAATGGACTGACTACGTGTCAGAGCTCTTGCAGGGACTAAGTAGAAAACTGACTATATGTAGAGTATATACTGATAAACAGTCCTTATCCTCTTTAGCCCATCAACAAGATTTAAAATTACTGAACTTCTTGAAACACTTTTTTTTTTTTTTTGAGACGGAGTTTCGCTCTTGTTACCCAGGCTGGAGTGCAATGGCGCGATCTCGGCTCACCGCAACCTCCGCCTCCTGGGTTCAGGCAATTCTCCTGCCTCAGCCTCCTGAGTAGCTGGGATTACAGGCACGCGCCACCATGCCCAGCTAATTTTTTGTAGTTTTAGTAGAGACGGGGTTTCACCATGTTGACCAGGATGGTCTCGATCTCTTGACCTTGTGATCCACCCGCCTCAGCCTCCCAAAGTGTTGGGATTACAGGCATGAGCCACCGCGCCCAGCTCAAAACGTCATCTCTTAAAAAAACAAAAGAGTTAACCAGGCAGGGTGGTGCACGCCTGTGTTCCCAGTTACTAAGGCTGAGATGGGAGGATCACTTGAGAGTCTGGGAGACAGAGGTAGACTCTGTCTCCAAAAAAATCCAAAAGCAAAACCAACAAAACCAAAACTAACTATATGCTGCTAACTCTCAAAGTTTTATCTTCAGCCTTTCCTCTGAATTACAAATCCATATAACCAACTGCCTGCTTAACATCTCCACCTGTAAGCCTAATAGGCTCCTTAAACTTAGTTTGTCCAAAACTGAGTTCCTGAAATAATTCCCAAACCATGTTCCCCTACACTTTACCCTATCTCAATTAATGACAACTTCATTCTTGCAGTTGCTCAAGCCAAACACTTTGGTGCATTTTTTTAATTCTTTTTCTCATACATACCACCCCATCTACTCTCATCACCCTAACTTCAAAATATATACTGAATTCAACCTGTTCTCACCGCTTTCAGTACCATCATCCCTTGCTTGTATTACTGTAATAGCCTCCTAAGGGGACTGGCTGCTTCTGCCCTTGGACCCCGATGTCTCTAACAGAGGAATCCTGTTCAAATGTAAGTCAGATCAATTATTATTATTATTATTACTATTTTGAGACAGAGTTTGGCTCTTGTGCCCAAGGTGGAGTGCAATGGAACGATCTTGGCTCACTGCAACCTCCATCTCCTGAGTTTAAGCAATTCTCCTGCCTCAGTCTCCTGAGTAGCTGAGATTACAGGCATGCACCACCATGCCCAGCTAATTTTTTTTATTTTTAGTAGAAACAGGGTTTCACCATGTTAACCAGGCTGGTCTTGACCTCAGGTGATCGCCTGCCTCGGCCTACCAAAGTGCTGGGATTACAGGCGTGAGCCACCGTGCCTGGCCTAGTCAGATCAATTATATCACTCTTCCATTGAAAATGGCCTCTAATGGCTCCCAGTGTAAAAGCTGAGATCCTTACTATGACTGAAGAGAACCTACGTGAAATGTTGCTATTACTTCCCCGACTTCATCTCCAATTACTCTCCACCCACAACTCCAGCTAAGCCTCCTTGGTGTTCCTGGAATGTACCAGGTATCTTGCCACTTTGCATCTTCCCATTTGCTGATCCTCCTCCCTATAGTACCTTTTTCCAAATAAATGCATACAGCTCCCTCACTTCCTTCAGGTCTTTATTCAAAAGCCACCTAATCTAAAATTTCCATCCTGCTGCTAACATTTCATATTACCCTTCCCTGTTTTCATTTTCCTTCTAACATTTACTGTTATCTAACATGTCATATATTTTACCTATTCATCTTGTTTACTGTCTTTCTCATCCACTAAAATATAAGCTCCTCAAGGGCAGGGATTTAATCTAATCTATTTGGTTCCCTATTATAAGCCCAGCATGTAAAAAAGTGCCTGGCACAGAATAGACACTCCATCAATATCTACTTAATGAATGAATGCACCCTGAAGTACATATTAAAATTAAAATTTAGAGAGTTTAAAATTGTTGATATGGTTACTCCTTTTCTACGGGAACACATCTCTGAAATGATAAAGACAGTGGAAAAATAATTCAATCCATCAAAATTTGATAGCAATAGTTCTATGAATTTCATTTGCAAAAAGAAAACTAGCATTTATTGCCCATAAGCAAATTATTCACAGTAATTTAAACTTCAGAATTGTGTATGTCCTGAGCACAACTCCATGGCCGTTGCCTTCCAGCACTATTTTATGTGTGCTCATAGATTACAAACTGAAACCAACATCAGCCTATCATTAGAAAGATAAAATGTACCCCAAATCCCAATGTATCATCTGTGGTTTATGTCTTTTCTAGCCCAAGACAGTGTCTTTGGAATAAGAAATACCTAGATATAAATCTTGGCTTCACCACTTTCCCAGCTTGGTAACTTCGGCTAAGTGACCTAAGCTGAGTGCAGTTTTCTCACATATAGACATATCCATTTCATGAGGGACTTGGGAAGACTCTAGCGTGCCTAACACAAACTATGTACCCGGTAAATATTGCTACCCTTTAACCCCCAACTGTAACAGATAATTAGGGTAACTCTATATTGCTGTCGAAAACATTTTTTTTTCTAGGTCTGTTGCTCTACAAGGGCTACTCACTCATCAGCGTGGGATCCCCAGAACATTCAGAATGCAGCTATAAAATTCTAAGCAGCTGAGACACTCAGTACATGCAGTTTACTGACTGACTGACTTAGCTTAGGTTGTGAGCCACTCACCTAAATAGCCTTGAGTCTTTTTCTGTAGTGCAGTGACCGGGCAGTCTTTATGAGCTAACAGTAGCTGTTTCAACTGAGCCACCTCGTTGCGTAGTAATGTAACTTCATTCTGAGGAGGGAGGGAAGAAAAGAGTATCAAGAAAATTCATCCTCTACTCTTGCAACCTCAGTGGCTGTTCCCAAAGTGAGGACAGAATGCTGCCTCAATTTTCTCCCCTGAATTGGGACAAGACTCCTGATCCAGCAAGGCTTCAGATAGCCCAGGGACAGTATAGTCACGAATTAAATGACAAGAGTTGCTTTCAGTGAAAAGTAGGGATTTATAATAGAAAAATTACTCCTGTTTAAGATAAACATGATTGTACTAAAATTAATAATACACATGCTCTTTGACTAAGAAAGCCTCCTTCTAGGAATCTATTTAACAGAACTGTTAAATAGGTGTATGCAATGTTCATTGCAACATTGTTGTTCTAGCAAAAAATCAGCCAATATCCATACCTTATAACATAACTACACTACAGAATATACTACTACACAGCTATTAAAAAGAATGAGGTAGGCCAGGTGCTGTGGCTCACACCTGTAATCCCAGCACTTTGGGAGCCCGAGGCGGGTGGATCACCAGGTCAAGAGATCGAGACCATCCTGGCCAACATGGTGAAACCCCATCTCTACTAAAATACAAAAAAAAAAAAAAAATACAAATTAGCTGGGCGTGGTAGCACATGCCTGTAGTCCCAGCTACTTGGGAGGCTGAAGCAGGAGAATTGCTTGAACCCGGGAGGTGGAGGTTGCAGTGAGCTGATAACGCGCCACTGTACTCCAGCCTGGCACCTGGCGACAAAACCAGACTGTCTCAACAAAAAAAAAAAAAAAAAAAAAAAAAAAAAAAGAATGAGGTAGATCTCCCATATCCATGGCTAGATTTTTGATAAATACCATTAACCTATTTATGTCAAAACAAGCACACAACCCCTCCAGCCCTACACAAAAACTATAAATAAAAAATATTTAGGAATATGAATCTGTCTGGAAGGCACATGCCAAATCTATCTACAGGGAAGAGAACAGGACTAGAAAAGGTAGATTAAGGAGGGACTTTGTTTCTATTCTATACATTTGTGTGTGTATTTTATAATAGAAATATGTATTCATATATTGCCTTTTTAGTTAAATATTTTAATAATCAGAAGAAAGAAAAATAACATTCATTCAAGAGACTGTATGGTTTATAGATTATAATTATTCTATTTGTGCTTATAGCACTTTTTTTCTTTCTCTCTTTTATTAAGCTGCATTATCTAGGGCAAAAACATATGACCCCAGTCAGATTCTACAGATGATTTAAAAGAGCACCCTGGGGTGCTTAATCTAATTCCTTCATCTAAACACATTTATGAATAACTCTAGTAGCAGATTTGGGGGGTAGATGGTGAGTGTCTTCACCAACTCCTATGAAAGAGATTTCAGCTCTGACTGTTAAGAGATTCTTCCTGGCACAGCTTCTAGATTTGTCCTAATTAGAGAATTAGCATCTTCTATCAAATTGTCCCACTTTTTTCTGATTCCATCCCACTTTCTAGATTTTCAACAATTTCAATTATCATCCAGGATCCACTCACACTCAGTTGAATGTTCTGCGAAGTGAGTTCTTCGGCCTTCTTCTCGAGGGAGGACACCCACAGCTTTCGCTTTTGGCGGCAGCGGGAGGCTGCAGCCCGGTTGCGCTCCAGAAAGCGCTGCCGTCGCTCATCTGGATCTTCATCTACTGTGCGCCGCCGTCGCCCCCCAGTACTAGGGGTGGGCTGGGCTGGTGAGACCTGGTGCCCAGAAAGGACGAGAGGTTACTTGATGGGAACATGAGTCCCTTCCAAATCACACTGGATGTTAGGTAGAGTGGTAAGGTCTGGTAAAAAGATGTATCAGCCTCTCGTTACCACAGCATGTCTCATGACTATGTCCTTGAGCTTCTCTTTTGTAGGAATTCTCAATTTTGCCTCCTCTTTCCTTCCAGTCTTCTCAGTCTCAGACTAACTACAGTTCATTTGGAAACTCTGATTATTTCTAAGACAGACAAATGAAACTAGGGTTACTTTTTGTTTCTTAACAATAGGGGATCTTGCCGGTGCTCGCAGAACTTTGGAAGGCTGAGGCGGGTGGATCACATGAGGCCAGAAGTTCAAGACCAGCCTGGACAACATAGAGAAACCCCATCTCTACTAAAAATACAAAATTAGCCAGGCATGGTGGCACATGCCTGTAATCCCAGCTACTTTTTTTTTTTTTTTTTTAAGAGACGGGGTTTCGCTATCTTGGCCAGGCTGGTCTTGAACTCCTGACCTCATGATCCACCCATCTCGGCCTCCCAAAGTGCTCAGATTACAGGTGTGAGCCACTGCGCCCAGCCCAATCCCAGCTACTAAGGAGGCTAAGCCAGGAGAATCGCTGAACCCAGGAGGTGGAGGTTGTGGTGAGCCAAGATTGCACCATTGCTCTCCAGCCTGGGCAACAAGAGTGAAACTCCATCTCAAAAAAAACAACAACAAAAAAGAAAAAACAAACACACAAAAAAAGTTATACCAAGTGTGCCTGCTTCTCTGGACCCCCTTCCAACTTCTCCATCTCTTCTGCCTCTGCCACCCCTGGGACAGCAAGACCAAGCCTTCCTCTTCCTCCTTCTCAGTGCGAAGATGATGATGAGGATGAACTTTTATGATGCTCCACTTCTATTTAATGAATAGTAAATATATTTTTTCTTCCTTATGATTTTCTAATATTTTCTTTTCTCTAGCTTCCTTTATTGTAGGAATATAGTAGATAATACATATAACATACAAAATGTGTGTTAAATCAACTGTATGTTATTGGTATGGCTTCTGGTCAACAGCAGACTATTAGTAAAGTTATGGGGAGTCAAAAGTTGTATGTGGCCAGGTGTGTTGGTTCACACCTGTAATTCCAGTATTCTGGGAGGCTGAAGCAGGTGGATCACCTAAGATTAGAAGTTCAAGACCAGCCTAGCCAATGTGGTGAAACCCTGTCTCTAGTAAAAATACAAAAATTAGCTGGGCGTGGTGGTGCGCACCTGTAATCCCAGCTACTTGGGAGGCTGAGGCATGTTTGGAGGCTGCAGTGAGCTGAGATAATGCCACTGCACTCCAGCCTGGGCAACAGAGTGAGACTCTGTCTCAAAAAAAAAAAAAAAAAATCTTGTACTCTACTCTAGGCCCTACTGAATTATGTTCTCCATTAATATAGATAACAATTAAGAAATGATTTCTTAAAATTCAGACTAGTATTATCTCTCCCCAAATAAAAAAATGGAGAAGAAATTTCCAACTCAATTTAATGATCTAGAGGCCTTGGGTCACTGCTTCTCATTGTATAAGAAATTTACCATAATTCTCTGGAGAATATCAGCCTCCTCTTTATCTTTAGCTGATTGGAGCACATGTAAAGACTAGTGCTTTAGGAGGATAGGGGAAAGGAAAGGTTCCTATTTTGCCAGAGGCAATTCAGTAACTCATGCAAGGAATGGAGGTAAAAGACTAGTCCAAGAGAAAGAGGGGAATAATGACAAGGAAAGGAATCAGTGTTGATTAAAAAGGAAGCTGGGGCCGGGCATGGTGGCTAGCGCCTGTAATCCCAGCACTTTGGGAGGCTGAGGTGGGAGGACTGCTTGAATCTAGGAGTTTGAGACCAGCCTGGGCAACATGGAGAGACTCCGTCTCTTTTAAAATTTTAAAATAAAAAACAAAGGAAGCTGGCCACGTACAGTGGCTCATGACCAGCCTGGGCAGCATAGTGAGATTCTGTCTCTACTATTATTTATAATAAAAATTCTAAAAATTAAAAAAAATAAAAATAAAAAGGAAGCTATGTCATTTCCCCAAGGGAGAAAGCAGCACAACTCAGGCAAGGGAGCTGCTGCTTTACCATCTTCAAGACTGGCTTTGGTGGGGTTACAGAAGGCTAGGCAGGCATAGCTTCCAACAAGAAAACTCAAATGAAAGCTTTTGTTGTTGGCCAAGCTTTACTGTAGCATATGGCCACGAAATGTTTGGACATGTGGCAGTAACTGATGAAGCAGGTGGTGACATCAGGAAAAGAGGGGCCAGGCAAAGGGTATAATTCTAGAAACCAATCTCAGGTGCTGTCACCTATCCAGTGCAGATGATATGAAAACTGGGGACTACTCAGTTTCCAAAGAATGTTTTTAAAACTGAGGCCTCCTTGAGAAGATAAATGGGTAACTAAATGGGACCCCTCTGGCTTTTTTAGGATTTTAGTTTCTTTGTGATAAAAAAGGGATTTAATTGGTAATGAGGTGTTTATTGGTGTGTGTCTTGTTTTTTGTTTGTTTGTTTTTTCATTTTTTTTTTTCTTCTTTTTTTTTTTTTTTGAGACAGAGTTTCACTCTTGTTACCCAGGCTGGAGTGCAATGGCGCGATCTCGGCTCACCGCAACCTCCGCCTCCTAGGTTCAGGCAATTCTCCTGCCTCAGCCTCCTGAGTAGCTGGGATTACAGGCACGTGCCACCATGCCCAGCTAATTTTTTGTATTTTTAGTAGAGACGGGGTTTCACCATGTTGACCAGGATGGTCTCGATCTCTTGACCTCGTGATCCACCCGCCTCGGCCTCCCAAAGTGCTGGGATTACAGGCTTGAGCCACTGCGCCCAGCCCCATTTTTTTTTTTTGAGACAGAGTCTCACTCTATCGCCCAGACTGATCTTGGCTCACTGCAACCTCCGCCTCCTGAGTTCAAGTGATTCTCCTGCCTCATCCTCCCAAGTAGCCGGGACTATAGGCATGTGCTACCATGCCTAATTTTTTGTATTTTTAGTACAGACAGAGTTTTGCCATGTTGGCCAGGCTGGTCTCAAACTCCTGACTTCAGGAGATCCACCTGCTTCAGCTTCCCAAAGTGCTGGGATTACAGGCATGAGCCACCTCGCCTAATCTATTTTTTATTGAGGTATCTTTTTTTTTAGAGATGGGGTTTCACCATGTTGGTCAGGCTGGTCTTGAACTCCTGACCTCCGGTGATCCACCCACCTCGGCCTCCCAAAATGCTGGGATTACAGGCGTGAGCCACCATGCCCAGCCTATTGAGGTATCTTAATACTGTAACATCACATTTCATTAATATATTATGGTTTTTGTTGTAAAATCTTAACAGGTAAGTTATTATTTTTTAAGACTTAATAGATGAGAAAGAGACTAGGGGAGCCTCTTTTGTTTAGTGTGTGGCTTGAAGTAAGGCTCTGTCACATTTTAGAGGATTCTGCAGATATACTAAACTATGCATGACTCACATATGAAAAAAATGGGGACAGGCATGGTGGCTTGTGCCTGGAATCCCAAACTTTGGGAGTCTGAGTCGGGTGGATCACCTGTGGTCAGGAGTTCGAGACCAGCTTGACCAACATGGTGAAATCCTGTCTCTACTAAAAATACAAAAAATTAGCTGGGCATGGTGGTTGGCGCCTGTAATCCCGGCTATTTGGGAGGCTGAGACAAGAGAATTGCTTGAACCCTTGAGGCAGAGGTTGCAGTAAGCTGAGATTGTCTCATTGCACTCCAACCGGGGCAACAAGAGTGAAACTCCATCTCAAAAAACAAAAAAGGGAGGTCGCTGCAACAGTTCTGCATTACTTAGTCTGTTTGCATGAAAGTCTTAACACAAGGGTGAATAAAGAATGGTGTGTTTTTGCTATTAAGTGATGGTCTCAGTCAAAATAAAAATAAATAAATAATAAAAAGAATGGTACGGTTTGCTGCAGTCAAACTGCCAACAAGAACCAAAGTATGCTGGAAGAAACCTAGAAAGTTGAAGTCCAGCCGGGCGCAGTGGCTCACGCCTGTAATCCCAGCACTTTGGGAGGCCGAGGCGGGTGGATCACGAGGTCAAGAGATCGAGACCATCCTGGTCAACATGGTGAAACCCCGTCTCTACTAAAAATACAAAAACATTAGCTGGGCATGGTGGCGCATGCCTGTAATCCCAGCTACTCAGGAGGCTGAGGCAGGAGAATTGCCTGAACCCAGGAGGCGGAGGTTGCGGTGAGCCAAGGTCTTACCACTGCACTCCAGCCTGGGTAACAAGATTGAACCTCCGACTCAAAAAAAAAAAAAAAAAAGAAAGTTGAAGTCCATTCTTCTCTAATTTTCTGCTCCTTGAAAAATAGATAGGACATAAAGAGTAAGAGTAACACATGTAGTTTCCCCATCTAACGGCCCAACTGACCTGTGGCTGGGCAGGGGATGGGGCATCAGGGTGTTGGATGAGGATCTGGCTCTGGTCTGGGCGGGTTGTCACCATGGTGCTGGCAGTTCCCACCACCATTCCACAACCACCATTGATTGAGGAGACTTGGTGAGTTAGGGTGGCTTTTAGTCTCTGTGGGCAAAGATTAGAAAAAAACGCTTGTTACGGATGAGATTCTATCAGGAATGAGGAGAGTGGCCTTAGATTTTATTATTGACCTTATAGATAGGTAAAATTTCCACTCTAATTCTCTCTTAACAGAGGAATTAAGGGAAAATGACAGGCAGAGAAAATGTGCACCTGGATCCTTAAAATGTCTAATCTGTTCCCTGGCTATCATCCTGGGCACAGTTGGGGGCTGGGGGTTGTTAAAGCAATAGTGTCCAGATGAAAGCTCTCTCCTGGAGCCTGGCCAGATGCTGGTTACGCAGCTATCCACCTCTTGGCCAGCTCCCCTGCCCACTCACCCACCCTCCATCTGTTACCCTAAAACTAAAATGGCAAGTGTTCCATTCCAAACAATCTGTGCTGCCTCTTTTCACTGCCCATGGTCTATGTACCAGGCTCTAAAGGTGGGGAGAGGAGATGGGAGCTATGAATCAGAGTCTTTTCTTTTCCAGACCCCACGGCATGGAGTCCTTAGCTTTGCAAGCCCCAGAAGGTTCCTTTGTTTGGCTCACTTGAAAGACCTAGGCTGATACCACCTACTTCTTTCAGAAAGGCCAATATTGCCCCAGGCTGGGATATACTCACCATCTTGGCTTCTGATGGTATAGGGTGGCCAGAGGGAGAAATGGAGCCACTGCTGTTAACTGGTGGGCCAGGGATACCAGGAATGTTGGGCACCATGGACACAGGTCTGGCCAGCTGGATCAAGAGAAGGAAAAAAACCAGAAGGGAACATAATACTATTGGTGGGGCAACAGTTTCCCTAAAATGAGGATTGAGATTGGCATGTCAGGGCCTGTTCTGTGCAATGTGCCCATGGGGCATGCAGGGACAGCCTAGGAAATACCTTTCCCCATGGAGCACCACAAAGTAGGGAATCTAGTCCTTCAGTGTTGGGGCAATTTCTGTGGGAAGGGTTGGGGCTGTATCTTGAGGAAAATGTTGGGCAATTTGAGAGGTGCTACGTGCCAAGTGAAAGCAACTAATCAGTAAGCTGGCAAGATCAATTCCTAGACCAGGAGCCAATTGTCCAGATGAGTCTTTATCTAGTGTTCCACAGTGCTGGATTGGCAGAGGTTAGTGAAGAGTTTAGGCAGGCTGCCATGCTCAACTAATACAGATCAGAGCCCACATTTCCCTGGGGCTCATGTGTGTTTTATGACCATTCAGGTGGAAGGGAAGGATTACCACGTTGGTAGGGTTGGCTGCCCCAACTACAGAGCTCACCGATATAACAGACGGCATCTGTACTGGAGGCCCTGGCAGCACAGGCATGGTCTGTCCATTAGCAAGATGCATGACAAGAGGGAGGGAGCCAGTGGGAGACCTAGAGGAGACATGAAGTGAAATGCTCGTAACACAGACCTTTTGTCCATGGATCTTTCTCCTATAATTACAGAAGATTTTCCAGTCTTCGTTAGTTAGGGAAGGTATAGGGCAGCATGGTAAAAACCTTGACACCCTTATGAAGGTGGGAAGGCAGAGAATCCTACTTAGCTTACCTTTTAGAGAAAAATGGCAAAATCTTTATAGCTTGCAAATTAAGCAAATTTAAATAGTAGGAAGCTAATCCTATTAAAGGGTTTAGAACAATTAAACATTCCTACCACTGGCTTGCCTTGGGAAAGGGGGAGTTGGATCAAAGTCATCATTTTGCAAAGCTGAATCAGGTCACATGATGGCCAAATCTGAATGTTTCTCTTGTTCCTTTCCATGGTTTGCTCTACCCTGCCCAAAAAAAGAAGCTGTCCCTTTTTATTTTTCCTAGTTGGTCCAGAGAACAATAAGCTCTAAGAATCTGAATCCTGACAACAGCCTCTTAACCCATGGGTACCGTGCCAGTAGTGAAGACAGACAAAATTAGAGACAGCAAACACCAAGAACCCTAACTGGGACTGAGGAGACCTAACGGGTTTCAGTGTTTCATTCAGTAGTGCCCCAACAGACTTTATAGGGTGTAGCTTCCACATTGTAATGAATTTCTAATGCTTTAAGGGTTCCTCTTTTTAGATTGAAGAAGTTATTAAACCCTAAAATTAAGAAAGTATTATCCCCAAATAGATATTTGCTTGTCTATTAAAAAGGTAAAAAAGATTCTGTTTGTGGGGGAGAAATTTATTTTGAGAGATAATCTCAGTGGCTTATTTTCCTTGGGTATTGAAAAACGGTCCCAGTTTTATCAAACAGTTTTGTGTAATGGAAAGAAATGTAGCCTTCACTATTTCTCCCTGCTCTCTGTACTTACCCCATTTGCCTGTTGGAGGGTGGAGCCTGTGTGATGACAGAGGTTGGGGAGGGAAGGGTTGGATGAAGTGGATCATAGCCCAAGTGGAGAGGCAGGGAGCCAGGACGTACAATGGTGGGCGTGGGGGTAGAGATCACAACAGGCTTTGGGGCAACCTCCTGGGGAGAAGAGACCAACAGATCACAAAATGCTTTAAGGTGTGCTTATAGGGAAATACATAGATGGTAAAATCTAGTACAAATTTATTGGAAAGAGCATTAGAGCCACTCATGTAAATTGTGACCGGATTCCATCAGGATCAGGGACCCATAATTCACTCACCCATTCAGGAGGAATGGTGCATTAAGATCTCTTGGCCATCTCCCCTTTCAGGGACAATGGCTGCATAAAGAAGACGACAGTTGGAGTATCACTTGAAATCTTTGAAGCAGCACTGGTAGTACCATATAAATTCTAGAGACTTGTAATTTTTCACAATCTAGATACTCTCATTCTAAACTTGATGCCAACTGTCCTCTGAACTTGAATGGGAAAGGCAGGTATACTGGTGATAAGGCAACCAATATCTCCAATACACCTCTTTAAAAAGGGCTATGGAAGTTTGGATAATGATCATACTGTAATAAAACAAACTGCTCCCATGTTAACTTCTTAAGATCTTAGACTGCCAGTGGTCATAATGGCCTTGAGAGCATCTCCAGACAGTCTCTAGGACTTTGTTGCTGATGAAAAGGGGAAGAGAGGCCAGGCGTGGTGGCTCATGCCTGTAATCCCAGCACTTTGGGAGGCCGAGGCGGGCGGATCAAGAGGTCAAGAGATCGAGACCATCCTGGCCAACCTGGTGAAACCCCGTCTCTACTAAAAAATACAAAAATTAGCTGGGCATGGTGGCAGGTGCCTGTAGTCCCAGCTTCTTGGGAGGCTGAGGCAGAATTGCTTGAACCAGGGAGGCAGAGGTTGCAGTTAGCTGAAACCGCGCCACTGCACTCCAGCGTGGCACCTGGCAAAAGAGCAAGACTCTGTCTCCAGAAAAAAAGAAGGTGGGGGAAAGAGAGAGGTGGAGATTATCAAGCCAAATTTGGAGGGAAGTAAGATGAGGTATAGATGCTGTCTATCCATAGTGGATGTTAAAATTAATAACCACTGGTAGAGCAGTAGAAACTGAATGGAGGCCTGAGGGGTTTCTGAGGTTCTCATAAAATGTTTTTGATCTAGGTGCTGGTTATACAGGCTATTAACTTCATAAAAATTCAGTAAGTTATGTAATTACCATTTATGCACTTTTCTGTACATGTACTATATTTCAATAAATGTATTAAAATAGTACTTCATGAAAGGTTTCCTTTAAAAATAATAATAATCAGACTCCTAGTAGATACTTCCTTTAAATCACTTCCCTCTAGGATGACATTTTTTTTCTAAACTGTTTGATGTCCAATTTATGAATTATGTGAATTTTTCTTTTTCACTTATTAATTGAAGTATAACATACAGTGATGTGCATTAAAGTCATGACAACAAAATGACTTTTAGGCTGGGTGCAGGGCTCTCGTCTGTAATCCCAGCACTTTGGGAGGCTGGAGCATGAGAATTGCTTGAGCGTGGGAGGCAGAGGTTGCAGTGATCTGAGATTGCACCACTGCACTCCAGCCTGGGCATCAGAGTGAGACTCTGTCTCAAAAGAAAAAAACAAAAACAAAATGACTTGTCACAGATGTTAAATCAGGATACAGACCATTTCGCACACCCCAGAAAGTTCTATGTCCCTTCCCAATCCACACCACTCCTTCACAGGAGGTAAACGCTATCCTGAGTTCTCTCATCAGCAAATAGTTTTGCCTCTTGAATTACACAAGTATGTACTTTTGTGTCTGACTTTTTTGTTGTTTAATATGTTTGTGGGATTCATTCACATTGCTGTGTAATTATCAGTTCACTTCCCTTTTTTCTTTTTTTTTTTTGGGACAGAGTCTCACTCTGTCACCCAGGCTGGAGTGCAGTGGCGTGATCTTGGCGCACTGCAACCTCTGTCTCTTGCGTTCAAGCAATTCTCCTATCTCAGCCTCCTGAGTAGCTGGGATTACAGGAACACACCACCACACCTGGCTAATTTTTGTATTTTTGGTAGAGACAGGGTTTTACCATGTTGGCCAGGCTGGTCTCAAACTCCTGGCCTCAAGTGATCTGACCACCTTGGCCTCCCAAAGAGCTGAGATTATAGGCATGAGCCACTGTGCTCGGCTGATTTTTGGCTATTAAGAATACAATTGCTGGCCAGGTGTGGTGGCTCACTCCTGTAATCCCAGCACTTTGGGAGGCTGAGGCAGGAGAATCACCTGAGGTCAGGAATTTGAGACCAGCCTGACAAATGTGATAAAACCCCATCTCTACTAAAAGTACAAAAATTAACTGGGTGTGCCTGTAGTCCTAGCTACTCAGGAGGCTGAAGCAGGAGGATTGCTTGAACCCAGGAGGCAGAGGTTGCAGTGAGCCGAGATTGCACCATTGCACACCAGCCTGGGCGACAGAGCGAGAGTCCATCTCAAAAAAAAAGAAAAAGAAGACTAAAGTTGCTATGAACATTCTAACATACTTCTTTTGGTAGACATATGCACTAATTTCTCTTCCATATAGACTTAGAAGTGGAATTGCTCAGAAAGAGAATAGGTATAATTTATATAAATCTTCTAAATAGTTAACTTTCCTTTAAATACAATCAGTCCTCCTATAGCACATACTTTACTGTTTTTATTTTTATTTATTTATTTTTTCTTTGCCGTCACCTCCTTCCGCCTTTTTTTTTTTTTTCTTTTTTTGAGACAGGGAGGGGCTCATTCTGTCGCCCAGGCTGGGGTGCACTGGAGCAATCACAGCTCACTGCAGCCTTGAGCTCCGGGGGCTTAAGCGATCCTCCTACCTCAGCCTGTCGAGTAGCTGGAACTACAGGCGTGCTCCACCATGCCCAGCTAATTTTTGTATTTTAAGGGGAGATGGGGTTTCTCCACATTGTCCAGGCTGGTCTCGAATTTCTGGGCTCAAGTGATTCTCCCATCTTGGCCTCCTGAGTAGTTAGGACACACTATTTATATAATTAATAAATCAAAACTTTATCAATTAACATTTGAGATGACCCTTAGTAGAGAATTTTACCTTCTCCTTCAGTGGTGGGGAACAAGGGCTAGAGGCAGGGCTATCAGGTGGGGATGAGTCTACCTCCACTGGCTCTTCTTCTTTGATTTTGATGTCTGGTGTGGAAGGTAGAGACATGTCAAGGGGCCCAGCAGCAGCCTGTTGTGAAAGAAAAATGAACAGAGTTTAACCCTATGATTCCTTTCAGGTTGAATCTATATCTTCCCAGTTCCAAGATAAGGGAATGTGCTTCTAAGAAGTTCAGCTCTTGGTCAAAGCACTGAACTGCATGTCAAAGAAATTTGGGCCCCTTATGTTTTATGTACAACTCTGGCCAAATCATTTTATCAGTAATTCTCAGGACTTCTGTCCCTAACTATAAGATGAAGATAATACCTGCTTCACCAAAGGTAAACAAATATTTATAAAGACCTGAAAAAAAAAGATGTCATTTAAATCCATGCAAATATTATAGTATTTTTCAGGAAATCAAAATGATTCCTGAATCTGCTGGCCACTGGAGAGCTGTGAACTCTTTCTCTGTCAACAAGGATGACTAGATTACACAATTACTAAAAGCAAACAAAGACAAACTGGCTATTCGAGTACTGCAAAGAAGATAGGAAAGGTATTTCCTGGGGAACTCACCATGCTTGATGGTGATCTCACCCCAAAACCTAGTGCTGGAGGCTAGATACACCAGGTAGATAGGGTTTTGGGGTAACAAAGAAAAGAAAGGCTAATCATCTGATTGGTGAAATAAATGAGAACTTGGTCTTAGGAGCAAGACTGGAGAAACCCAGAAAGTAAAGAGAGTACTTTCCTGGCAATGATGCCACCACCTCACAGAACTGTGGAGCTGGAAATGGCCTTGCAGGGAACAATAAACCATCTGAGATAGCGGCCTTGACACCGCACCAGGGCAGGACAGGAGGGTTGGCATTGCAGTTCAGTTTCATGATAAAGTGCATCCTTTGTTCTATCCATCCCGTATCCCAGGCTTCTTGGTGAAGCAACTGCTTGTTTCCAGCTCTTCCCTTGCTATCTTAACCCTTAGAAACCTTGATAGCTAGCTGAGGAAATTAAAGATAATCTGGTATCTACTACATTAGAGAAGGTAGTAATAGTTCTTTTTCCCCAATCTGATGAGGGTGAGCAACAGCAAAGGTGGCTTCATTTCTGCCTCATTTTTTCTACACTGCTAAGATGTCAGGTCCAATTTAGCTAATTCTGAGATCTCTTAAGTCAGAGATTATTGGGAAGGAGAAGCTTCTACGTAAATACAACCATAGATTTGAAATCCTCTAGGGCATCTCCTAGAAGAGCTGTGGTTCAGGAAAGTTCCATGCTCATTAAACACTCCTGGAGACAATCTGTGCTTCTCACCAAGGAGAAGTAAAGATCACTCCTGTACAGGCAGAAGGAAACACCAAGGAATGCCCAGTGAGGAAACGGCTGACTAATTATGAACTAGTCTCCCAGAAGTGTCCACTGAGCTAAAATGTCAATGAAAAAGACTTGAAGCTTTTTATGGGGGGCTAATTTTCTTGAATTTGCCAATAATTAATTGGGTATAAAATCCCACATAGGCCAAGTGTGGTGGCTCATGCCTGTAATTTCAACACTTTGGGAGGCCAAGGTGGGAGGATCACCTGAAGCCAGAAATTCTAGACCAGCCTGGGAAACATACCAAAACCTTTCTTGGCCAGGCGTAGTGGCTCATGCCTGTAATCTCAGCACTTTGGGAGGTTGAGGTGGGAGGATTGCTTGAGCCAGCGAGTTTGCTTGAGACCAGCCTGGGCAACACAGTAAGACCCTGTCTCTATGAAAATAAATTAGCCAGGCATGGTGGTATGTGCCTGTAGTCCCAGTTACTTGGGAGGCTGAGGTGGAAGAACTGCTTAAGCTCAGGAGGTGGAGACTGCAGTGAGCCATGATTCCACCACTGCACTCTAGCCTGGCAGACAGAGCAAGACCATGTCAATGAATGAATGAATAAAAATGAATGATGAGAAGACTGGCTAGTTCTGCCATTTGAAAGTGGAACTATAAGACCAGGTGTGGTGGCTCACGCTTGTAATCCCCGCACTTTGAGAAGCTGAGGCTGGTGGATCGCTTGAGCCCTGGAGTTCAAGACCAGTGTGGGCAACATGGCAAAACCCTGTCTCTCTTAAAAAAAACCACAAAATTTAGCTAGGTGTGGTGGCTCATGCCTGTAATCCCAGCACTTTAGGAGGTTGAGGCAGGCAGACCATGAGGTCAGGAGTTCGAGACCAGCCTGGCCAGCATGATGAAACCCTGTCTCTACTAAAAATACAAAAATTAGCTGGGCATGGTGGCATGCACCTGTAGTCCCAGCTACTTGGGAGGCTGAGGCAGGAGAATTGCTTGAACTCAAGAGGCGGAGGTTGCAGTGAGCCGAGATCGTGCCACTGCACTTCACCCTTGGGCAACAGAGTGAGACTGCCTCAAAAAAAAAAAAAAAAAAAAAAAAAAAAAAGTAGAACTACAAATATATGCCACTGAATTTCCCTGCTTTATTAATTTATTTAAAGACAAGGTCTGGGCCAGGCACGGTAGCTCATGCCTGTGATCCCAGCACTTTGGGAGGCTGAGGTAGACAGATTGCTTGAGCTCAGGACTTTGAAACTACCCTGGACAACACGGCAAAACCCTATCTCTACTAAACACACAAAAAAATTAGCTGGGTGTGGTGGCATGCACCTGTAATCCTGGGTACTCGGGAGGCTGAGACAGAATTGCTTAAACCTGGGAGGTGGAGGTTGCAGTGAGCTAAGATTGTGCCACTGCACACCAGCCGGGGTGACAGAGCAAAACTCTGTCTCAAAAAAATAATAAAATAAAATAAAGACAGGGTATTGTTCCATTGCCAAGGCTGTAGTGCAGTGGTTTGATCATAGCTAACTGCAGCCTTGACCTCCTAGGCTCAAGTGATCTCCTGCCTTGGCCTCCTGAGTAGCTGGGACCACAAAAGTGTGCTACCACACTCAGCTGATTTTTAAATTTTTTTGTAGAGATAGGTCTCACCATGCTGCCCAGGCTGGTCTCAAACTCCTGAGTTCCAGCAATCCTCCTGTTGTGGCCTCCCTAAACACTGGGATTACAGGTGTGAACCACCATGCCCCATGCAGGCCTCATTCTGTTAGTTTGAGGGAAACAGCATAAAAAGGAACTCATAAAAATCTATGGAACTTGGAAATAACTCCAGTGATAAAGATACTATCTTGCTTTCTTACCACTTAAACTGGATGGAAAATTCATGTATAACTACCTTGATTTACCGGCTACTCCCTCTTAGAAGGAAAGAGCTTCCATGGAAATTTTTTCTTAAATATAGGGAAAAACAGAAGCAGTTCCAGCTATTCTATATTCTGATAGGATCCCATGCCTCACTATACCATACAATTTAAAGGTTAATGTGTTAATATATATGTTTTGGGATAGAGATATTGGAATCTTTTATGATTCCAGAAAATCAGGAACACAGACTTGATGTTAAAAATAGTGACCAATAGCCTAGAATTCTAATTCTAAAGTAAAATTTTATATTTGCATTTTTATTTTCCCCCCAAGTCCCTTATCCATGCAAACTATCTTCCTTTGACTCTGCTTCTTCAGGTATTTCCTCTGGTCTTCTAAACTAAGGGATCTTCTAGGGATCCAGATTATATAAAGGCTCAGGATTAGAGAATCACAGCATCTCAGAATTAGAAGGGATTCCTCTACAATATCTGTACTAAGTGGCCTACATATAATTGAACGTATTTTGTATTCAATTATAGGTAGGCCACTTAGTAGAGATATTACAGATCACCCAGTGATCCTACTTCTACCTTTGTGCCACATAGAATAAATGTAATCCCTCTTTTACTTAAATACTCTTGAAGACAGATTTGTTTACACTAAATCTCTTTTCTAACCAAAATTTCCTCAGTTTTCTTTTTTTTGAGACAAAGTCTCACTCTGTCGCCCAGGCTGGAGTGTAGTGGGGCGATCTCGGCTCACTGCAACCTCTGCCTTCCAGGTTCAAGCAATTCTCCTGCCTCAGCCTCCTGAGTAGCTGGGATTACAGGTGCATGCCACCACACCCAGCTAATTTTTGTATTGTTAATAGAGACCGGGTTTCACCATGTTGGTCAGGCTGGTCTTGAACTCCTGACCTCGTGACCCACCGCACCCAGCCTGGCCGCCCACCCCTAATTTTTTTTTCTTCTCTCTGGCTCCCTCTCTCCGACTTTTTTTTTTTTTAAAGAGATAGGGTCTCACTCTGTCGCCCAGGCTGGAGCACAGTGGTACGATCATAGGTCACTGCAGCCTTGAACTCCTGGGTTCAAGCAATCTTTCCACTTCAGCCTCCCAAGTAGCTAGGACTACAGGCATGCACCACCATGCATGGCTAATTTTTAAAACTTTCTTTGTACAGATGGGGGTCCTGCTATGTTGCCCAGGCTGGTCTTGAACTCCTGTAATCCTCCCACCTTGGCATCCCAAAGTGCTGGGATTACAGGCATGAGCCAATGTGCTTGGCCACTTGATTTCTTTAAAAGTTCCTGAAGTGACATAGTTTCTAGTTCTTTCACCATCCTGTTTGATTTACTTTGAAAGACAGTAAGAACATCCTTTTTATCTTTAATGCTTTGAATAATAACAGAAAGCTACTTAAAGGCAAAAACCACATATATTAAAACAAAGAAGAATGGAAATTTGATAAATGTTTATTGACTTGCTGATTCAAAAAAATAGTGCAGCTGAGAAGTCTGATCAGCTCAGAAAAGAGTGGGATTTGGCAACAAATATGTTATCTAACAAAATCTGAGTAATTTATAACCTTTTAACATCTTCAACATATTTGTAATATAAATAATTTTTATAAAACAGATTATTAATCTAATACTCCCCTGGAAGAACAAGAGGACTAATTTTCGGTGAAGACAGACTTGTGCTGATCATCATCTGGAACTCCTAAAGACCTGAATGGCTGACTGGGATTAGTGACTGCTATCTGGCTTGACTGTACTAAGCCCATGATTTTGTGTTTTAACCAATTAAGCAAATTATCCCAAAGCACAGCAAAAATAGCCTAGGTCTGAATACCACCAGTTTTTTGCCAACAGTCCTGCTTCTTGCCTTTTTCTCATCCTCATCTGCAGCTTTCTTGAATTCATGTTCAAAGGAGCTAGCTAGTTCATTGAAGAGTCCCACTTCCTCACAGTTCTTCAGGAATCTAGTTGGAGTAGGAGTTTGATCTGTAAACATGAAAGAAAAGGAAACTTTTAGTTTTGATCTGAAATTAAAACTTGATATTACGTAGTATATAGAGAATGCATTTGTACTTTTGGATTTGCAGATAGAGTCTCTGTGTTAGGGCAGATTTGCTTTAATAGAGCTCTAGTAGGCAAAGGCTGGTGCTAGGCCACCAGAGGGTGTCTGTGTTGTGTTGCCTCAAAGCCAGCAAGGGGAAGACAGAACAGTATTTTGTTGTGTGACTATCCATGTACCTACTTTTCTCTCAGTGCTAGTTTTACCTCCTTTACCTCCAACCAAACCAAACCAAACCACCCATGCAGGTGGCACAGTTTTGTGAAACCCCTACATCTGAAAACCAAGTACAGTTAAGCAATGTTTTCTTTTGTAAACTCACTCCCTGCTAAGTCTGAAGTGAGCAGAAAAAGCAGATGGATGTTAAAATCTGATGAGAAGAAACTGAGGATCAGATGGTTGAGTTTGCTGACTAAAGCTACCAAGTAAGAAATAGTGCCTGTCTTTCAGTGGTTGCTGAGGTAATGGTCTGTTACCTTCTGAAGGATTCCAGGCAAATCTAGGGGCTGAGGAGTAAGACAGCAAGATCATGAGCTAGAAATGGAAACTGCAAACAGTGGAGCTCATTTCATAGAGACCTAGGCCCAGAGCGAGTTCTGGAAACCAGAATATTTCGATTTTGCCAGCCAAAACATCCCCACAGGGGCTGCATGAATCTCTCCTCAACATAGTGCCTCTGCCCTTGGGAAGAGAAAGGCTCTTGGTAACTCATGGGAACTTTTTAAGCAACTTCAATTTGAGATTTGAGCTTCTCCCTCCCAATGCTGCTTTTTTAGAGCTAAATCTTGTTCACAGATCCTAACTCTATTACAATGGCCTTCCTTGGCATGCTACTTTAGGGATTCATCTCATACCCCAAACCACTAGAATGAATGACAGAAATAGAGAACAATTTTTTTGTGGGGGATGGATTCTTGCTCTGTCACCCAGGCTGGAGTGCAGTGTCGTGATCTCAGCTCACTGCAACCTCCACCTCCTGGGTTCAAGCAATTCTCCTGCCTCAGGCTCCCAATAATACCTGGGATTACAGGTATGTGCCATCACGCCTGGATAATTTTTGTATTTTTAGTAGAGACAGGGTTTCACCATATTGGTCAGGCTGGTCTTGAACACCTGACCTCGTGATCTGCCCATCTCAGCCTCCCAAAGTGCTGGAATTACAGGCATGAGCCACCGCGCCCAGCTGAGAACAATGTTTAAATGATATTTTAAGGAGTGAGACTTGGAGTTAAAATCACGCCTTCTTGGCCAGGCGCGGTGGCTCATGCCTATAATCCCAGCACTTTTGGAGGCTGAGATGGGAGTATCACTTGAGGTCAGGAGTTTGAGACCGGCCTGGCCAACATGGTAAAACTCTGTCTCTACAAAAAATAAAAAAATTAGGTGGGCATGGTGGCAGGCGCCTGTAGTCCCTGCTACGTGGGAGAGTGAGGCAGGAGAATCCCTTGAAGTCAGGAGGCAGAGGTTGCAGTGAGCAGAGATCGTTGCCACTGCACTCCAGCCTGGGTGACAAAGTCAGACTCTGTTTAAAAAAAAAAAAAAAAAAAAAAAAAATCACTCCTAGCATGATCAATTGAAAATAGTCCAGTGGGATTTTCCATGGAAACAGCACAATTTTTATAAAAACACTTTAAACAAAACCTCTTCTGAAACAGAGTGTTTGGAAAAGTTACCACTACTTCTCAAAATAGTTTTAAAAGGTTCTCTGGCAGCTTTGGTTGGCTAACGATAAAGCCACTTTCCCTCCATCCTTGGGTGAGTAGAAGTAACATCATCCTTATGCTTAGAGAGTACTTTAGTAAGGGCATACACAGAATCACAACTCAAGTGGAACAGGAGGGGGCAGCTAAGGGCATGGCTATGACAGAAAAGGGACTTTCAGGCCTCTGATATGAGGCTCAAACAAACCTCCCCTGCACCCTGCCCTTCAGGCCCATTTCACATTTTTTAAAGGCTCCCCTGTGTTAAACCTAATTCCTCACTTTGCAAGCGGGCTCTGACCTTCAAATGGCTCTGGTTTGTGAACAAACAGATTGAAAATCTATCAGAGAATCATGAATCTGCTCTAATGAATCCTAAAAAAAAAAAAAAAAAAATCAGTAAATTTTTTTTTTTTTTTTGAGACAGAATTTTACTCATCACCCAGGCTGGAGTGCAATGGCGTGATCTCGGCTCACCGCAATCTCCGCCTCCTGGGTTCAAGCAATTCTCCTGCATTAGCCTTCTGAGTAGCTGGGATGACAGGCATGTGCCACCACGCCCAGCTAATTTTATAGTTTTAGTAGAGACGGGGTTTCACTGTGTTGCCCAAGCTGATCTTGAACTCCTGAGCTCAAGGGATCCTTCTGCCTCGGCCTTGCAAAGTGCTGGGATTACAGGCCTTAGTCACTGCCCCCAGCCTAAGAGCCATGTCTTAAATCTGGACAATACTCCTATATTCCTATCCCTTTCCTCCACCAAACATGTACACAAGTGTATTCATGAAGCACCAAAACATATAGAAAGTATTCAGTAAAAACTTACTAATTTTTTTTGACCAGGTGCCGTGGCTCACACCTGTAATCCCAGCACTTTGGGAGGCCGAGGTGGATCACCTGAGGTCAGGAGTTCAAGACCAACCTGACCAACGTGGTAAAACCCTGTCTTTACTAAGAATACAGAAATTAGCCAGGCATAGTCGCGCATGCCTGTAATCCCAGCTACTCTGGACGCTGAGGCAGAAGAATTGCTTGAATCCAGGAGGCGGAGGTTGCAGTGAGTTGAGATTGTGCCATTGTACTCCAGCATGGGCAACAAGAGCAAAACTCCATTTCAAAAAAAAAAAAAAAAAAAAAAAAAAGCCAGGCACGATGGCTCACGCCTGTAATCCCAGCACTTTGGGAGGCTGAGGTGGGAGGATCACTTGAGGCCAGGAGTTTGAGACCAGCCTGGCCAACATGGTGAAATCCCGTCTCTATAAAAAAAAATAAAGAGAGAGAGAAAAAAGAAAACATGGCTCTTGGCTGTAGAGAATTAAGATATTTTTTCTTTTTCTTTTCTTTTTTTTTTTTTTAGATGATGTCTCGCTTTGTCACCCAGGCTGGAGTGCAGTGGTGTGATCTTGGCTCACTGCAACCTCTACCTCCCAGGTTCATGTGATTCTCCTGCCTCAGCTTTCCAAACAGCTGGGATTACAGGTGCATGCCACCAAGCCTGGCTAATTTTTTTTGTATTTTTAGTAGAGACAGGGTTTCACCATGTTGGCCAGGCTGGTCTCGAAATCCTGACCCTGTGATCCACCGGCCTTGTGATCCACTGGCCTCGGCTTCCCAAGGTGCTGGGATTACAGGTGTGAGCCACTATACCTAGCCTCTTTTTCTTCCTTTCTTTTTTTTTTGAGACAGGGTCTCACTTTGTCGCTCAGGCTGGAGTGCAGTGGCTCGATCTTGGCTCACTGCAGTCCCCGTCTCCTAGGCTCAAGTGATCCTCCCACCTCAGCCTCCCAAGTAGCTGGGACTACAGGTGTGCACCATCACCCTAACTAATTTCCGTAGTTTTTGTAGAGACAGGATTTCACTATGTTGCTCAGGCTGTTTTTTTGTTTTTGTTTTTGACACGGAGTCTTACTCTGTCACCCAGTCTGGATGCAGTGGTGCAATTTTGGCTCACTGCAACCTCCGACTCCCGGGTTCAAGCGATTCTCCTGCTCCAGCCTCCCTAATAGCTAGGATTACAGGTGCACACCACCCTGCCCGGCTAACTTTTGTATTTTTAGTAGACATGGGGTTTCACCATGTTGGTCAGGCTCGTCTTGAACTCCTGAACTCAAGTGATCTGCGTACCTCAGCCTCCCAAAGTGTTGGGATTACAGGTGTGAGCCACCACACTTGGCTGTTTTCTTGTTTTCTTTTAAAAGACAGTCTTGCTCTGTCATCCAGGCTAGAGTGCAGTGGCATGATCATAGCTCACTGAAACCTTGAACTCCCAGGCTCAAGCAATCTTTGTCTCAGCCTCCCAAGTTGTTAGGACTACAGGTGTGTACCACCATGCTCGGCTAATTGTATGTATGAAGGATGTATTTATTTTTAGATACAAGGTCTCACTCTGTCACCCACACTGGAGTGCAGTGTTGTGATCATAGCTATATATATATGTATATATGTATTTATATTTAAATACAGGGTCTTACTCTGTAGTCACCCAGGCTGGAGGCAGTGGCATCATCATAGCTCACTGCGGCCTTGAACTCCTCAACACAAGTGATCTCCTACCTCAGCCTCCTGAGTGGCTGGTGTACAGGCAAGTGGCACCATGTCTAGCTAATTTTTTTTTGTAGCGAGGGGGGTGCCTCATCATTTTGCCCAGGCTGGTCTTGGATTCCTGGCCTCAAGCGATCCTCCTGCCTCTGTTTCCTCAAATGCTGGGATTGGAGGCATGAGTCATTGTGCCTGGCCTGAGGCTAATTTTTAAAAAAATTTTGTTAAGATGGGTCTCATGTTGCCCAGGTGTGGCCTTGAACTCCTGGCCTCAAACAGTCCTCCTGCCTGTGCCTCTCAAAGCACTGGGATTACAAGTGTGCGCCACTATGTCACTAGGCCCCATAGATGTTTTCTTTTTTCTTCTTTATTCTTTTTTAGAGACAAGGTCTTGCTTTGTCACCCAGGCTGGAATGCAGTGGGGTGACTGTAGCTCACTGTAACCGTAAACTCCTGGGCTCAAGTGATTCTCCTGCCTCAGACTCCCAAGTAGCTGGGACTAAATGCATGTGCCACCACACCTGGTTAATTTTAAATTTTTTTGTAGAGATGGGGTCTTGCTATGTTGCCCAGGCTGGCCTCTAACTTCTGGGCTCAAGTGATCCTCCCACCTTGACCTCTCGAGTACTGGGATTACAGGTGTCAGTCAGAGTGCTCAGCTGATAATGCTTTCTAGTCGAGGAAATAAAACTAATATATGTAGAAAGCATCATAGTGTACAAAAATAAGTACTTGGCTGGGCATGGTGGCTCACACCTCCCAGAACTTTGGAAGGCTGAAGGGGGAGGGTTGCCTGAGGCCAGGAGTTCAAGACCCAACTTGAGGAACAAAGCTAGAACCCATCTTTACAAAAAATAAAATACTTAGCTGGGTATGGCGGTGCACATCTGTAGTCCCAGCTACTGGGGAGGGTGAGGTGGGAGGATGGCTTGAGCCCAAGAGTTTGAGGCTGCAGTGAGCTGTGATCACACCACTGCACTCCAGCCTGGGCAACAGAGCAAGTCTCCGTCTCCAAAAAATGCCCCCCAAAACAAGAAACAAATTAAAACTTGGGTGAATGCCATGGTGGTAGGTTATGAAGAGCCTGAAAATCCAGGCATAAACAGCCTTTGTCTTTTTTTGTTTGTTTGTTTTGAGACAGAGTTTCTCTTTTGTTGCCCAGACTGGAGGGCAATGGCACAATCTCAGCTCACTGCAACCTCCGCCTCCTGAGCTCAAGCAATTCTCCTGCCTCAACCTCCCAAGTATCTGAGGTTACAGGTGTGCACCACCATGCCTGGCTAATTTTGTATTTTGCATATGTTTTTTGAGATGGAGTCTTGGTCTGTTGCCCAGTCTGGAGTGCAGTGGTACAATCTCAGCTCACTGCAACCTCCGCCTCTCAGGTTTAAGCGATTCTCCTACCTCAGCCTCCCAAGGAGGGCAGGCTTGTCTTGAACTCCTTACCTCGTGATCCGCCCACCTCAACCTCCCAAGTGCTGGGATTACAGGCATGAACCACTGAGCCTGGCTAATTTTGTATTTTTAGTAGAGATGGGGTTTCCCCATGTTGGTCAGTCTGGTCTTGAACTCCTGACCTCTGGTGATCCACCTGCCTTGGCCTCCCTAAGTGTTGAGATTACAGGCGTGAGCCACTGTGTCTGGCCTTAAGTAGTCTTAAAGTAAGAGAAAAGGGCCCGGTGTGGTGGCTTAGGCTTGTAATCCCAGCACTTTAGGAGGCCAAAGAGGGTGGATCATTTGAGGTCAGGAGTTCAAGACCAGCCTGGCCAACATGGTGAAACCCCGTCTCTATTAAAAATACAAAAATTAGCTGGGTGGTAGTGGTGTGCACCTGTAATCCTAGCTACTCAGGAGGCTGAGGCAGGAGAATCACTTGAGCCTGAGAGGTGGAAGCTGCATGAGCCAAGATCATGCCACTGCACTTCAGTCTGGGCGACAGAATGAGACCCTGTCTCAAAATAAATAAATAAATAAATAAAAATAAATAAAGAGATAACAGGAAGATAATGATAGATTCTGACTAGAAGAGAAGAATTTAAGGAAGACCGGCTTTTCAATAGTATGTATACAACATGGATTAGAATGAGAGGCTAATCAAGGAGGCCAGCTAGGAGACTTTGGAGGAATCTAAGCATAAAGAATGTGATGGTAGGGACAACAGCAAGGAATAAAACAGAAAGAATCTGAAGAATAAAACAACCAAGATTTTAAGAATACTGATATTAATAAATAATAAAGGAGAAAGAGCTGGTTTAGAAGACATGGAGGTAAGTTCAGTCATCGACATAAAGATATGAATGACAGCCAAGTAAAAATGTTCACATAAGGGGTTGGAATACATGACATACCAGGTCTTAATTGGAGATGTAAGAATTACCAGTGTAGATATATGATAGCTGAAGTCACGTGCAACAAGATGAGCATTCCAGAACTGAGAGCAAAGAGTAACAGAAGAACACGTTTTCTCCTTGAGAGTATTCTGGAGCAACTTCCTTACCACCCCTGGAGACTTGGCGTAGACCCTTCCACCAATTTGGAATAATCTCTCCAAGTTTAAAACCTTGCCCCAAACGTACCTCTCAAATAAACTTCCTCTGATTAATTCTACTTAATATTAACTTGTTTAGTATTCATATAGTTTGTAGCATTCACTTATACTTGTCTGCAAATACTACGATTTTATGAATATATGTCCTGAATTAATTATGTCTTACTATATGTATACCCTATCCACTATTCCCTAAGATCTCCCCCAGCTTTTCCTTTTGTTTTTAGAGACAGAGTCTTGCTTTGTGGTCCAGACTGGAGTGCAGTAGCACGATAATAGCACACTGTAACCTCATACTCCTGGACTCAAGCAATCTTCCTACCTCAGCCTCCCAAGTAGCTAAGACTATAGGCATGCAGCTAATTTTTAAACATTTTTGTAGAGGTCTCCCTATGTTGCTCAGGCTGGTCTTGAACTTGCAGCCTCAAGTGATCCTCCTGCCTCGGCCTCCCAGAATGTTGGGATTACAGGCATGAGCCACCACACCTGATCTTCCCCCAGGTTTTCTTAAGGATCACTAATGACAATGTTCCCTTTTATGTCCTTTTCCTAAGGATTACAAATCTACAAGCTCCTAGCAAATGTGCCTGGTGTATATAGTAAATATGAAATAAATATTTGCTGAATTAATGAGGAATAGGAGGTCTGTAAGGGCAAGTGGCAAGTCCCTTTCATCATGTATAGAAGTATGACAAGGAAGTTCTGTCTCTCCTTCTCCATGTCTATGAAAGCATTTTGGCTAGTAATACTTACAGAAACTCTGTCTTATCTGAGTTATACAGTAATAACCACCAACTGAATACCCTAGAAATTAAATATTGAGTTAAGCTTGCCTAAATTGAGCTAAATCAGAACCGCTCATGGATCAAAAGAAAAAGCTCACTTTGGTTTGTATGTCTGTCTAGCTGAAAATGGTGCAGCAGAATTGCTGCCTGGTTTGAGAGCAGTTGCTAAGAGGGCTCCCTTGAGAATGGCATATGTAAGCAAGACAGTATCTACAACAACTGCTGAGAGGTTCCAGGTCACCCAAATTGGCTTAGAAAAGTCCCACTGACTAAATGTCTTGTTTGAGCTTTGGAAATGTTCCCTCAATGGTGTCTGGGTTCACAAGGGAAGTTGGATTTATGAACTGACAATCTGCCTGCTGGAGGAAAACTGACACCCAGTGGAAGAGAAGCAGTCAGGCTGGGTTGGCTTTTTTGCATTCTTTTGTTCACCCCTTCATTGTGGGTAGGGAAAAACGTCAAAGGCATCTTTTGTCTGTAAATCTTTCAAAGTCTTAATAAATAGAAAGTAAGAAGGTAATAGACCGAAAAAAGCTAAGATGAAACCTCAATACACCTACCCTCAAAAACCACAGAGCACAATCTTGTTATTAAAAACAGAGTAGAGGGTACAATAGAAACTTGGGAGCTTTTAGTGTTCCTTTTTCCTGATTAAATGCAGATCACATAAGGGCTCTTAATGGGAGAAGGGGAGTATAGTTCCCAGTACATCTGGTCCCTGGTATTAATCTTAACTGTCTGGTGATATCAAGGCACGTGGCTTTTGGGGCAGCAAATACCTGCAATGATGACTGAATCAGTTCGAGCTGGGCCAAATTTCAATGTCATCTCATGCTTGTGTTTATGAACTGCCAGGTGGTCCTCGTTTGTAAATCTCTGAAATGAAACAGAAATGGAGATGTGAAAAAACAAAAACAAAAACCCAATTCAGTGCCCTTTTAAAATGTCCTACCAAACATCCTGCAATGAGGTTGGTCCCTGGAAAGAACTGGAGAGGGAGAAAAAACTAGAAGAGGAGAAGACATGGAGAAAAAAAGGTGCTAGAAGGCAGGGAGAAGAGGAGAGGGGGAAGACCACACCACCAACTGCTCTGTAATATCAGGTCCAAACAACAGAAGTGGACAGATTGTTGGTGAAGTGGGGTCCAAGTAGGAGGCTCCAAATGAAAAAAACATTAAGGCACACTCGTATTGAATAAGGGGAAAACAATTTTTAATAATAGTAATAAAGGGAGAAGGGAAGGGCTGGGCACTCGTTGCCCATCACAAAAAAAGGAAATTGAGAATGAAGCTCTCCATGGTAGGGCTGAATTGGACTCTTTTATGAGGGGGCTAACAGGGAGATAAATTATGCAGGATTAGGAGAACCATTTAACTTCTTGGCCCCTACAGTGCTGCAGCAGGCGCCTGCATGGCTATTTGGCTCAGAGTTTTAATGAGCCAGGATGGAGCTGTAGAGGACCAAGGCCCAGTGGCCAGCAATAATGGCACATACCAGCCCCATCGGCCAAATGCTGTCTCCCCTCATCGGGCAGCCCGCCTGGGCTCCATCAGCCATAAAAAGGCCAGTACAATACTGATGACTATATAATGGTAGAATAAAAATGCCAGCAAAAAATATTTTTTTAAGGGTAGGGAGGAGCCTGTAGGCAGGATGAGGGAAGAGAAAGAGAGATATATGGAGATTTTATTTGTTTGGGATTTGGGTGAAAGGACAATGAAGAAAAGTGGGCTAAGTCTATCCAGTTTATGTCTAAGTAAAATAGGGTTACTGGACAATAATTTATGCTCCCATCCCTTCTTAAAAGGGGTAGAGTGAAGGGAACAGATGAACAGCAGTAATACAAAAGAATAATATTCTCAAAATCCCTTTGAGGCTCCTGGCCATATTCCTTCATTAAAACATGCCTGCAACACAGTAACAGCCTGGATGCTGCAGTTTTCCACAGCTCCTTCACAGTGAGGCACTGAAACATGATTTCTATTTTTCTTTTTGCTTCTAAAAATGGTGATTGGTTAGTCCCCTCTTTTTACTTTCTTCATCAGGTAATACTTCCCACCAAATCCTACAGCTTCTTTCCCACAGTTCTTGACTGCAAACCAAATACACAGGAGTTGGCCCCACCTCACTCCTGACCATCAGGAAAGCAACACGGAACTGTTTCTACTACTTTATTTTACCTGAAAGTAGCTATTCCCTGAATTTACAACTAAAGCCAGCTTAAGATCCAAAATCCTAGGCTGGGTGCGATGGCTCATGCCTGTAATTGCAGCACTTTGGGAGGCTGAGGTGGACAGATTGCTTGAGCCCAGGAGTTCAAGACCGACTGGGGATTGTTGCAAAACCCCATTTCTATACAAAAAAATTTTTATTTATATTTATTTATTTATTTACTTTTCAGACAGAGTCTTGCTCTGTTGCCCAAGCTGGAGTGCAGTGGTGTGATCTCAGCTCACTGCAACCTCTGCCACCCAGGTTCACACAATTCTCCTGTCTCAGCGTCCCGAGTAGCTGGGACTACAGGCACATGCCACCAGGTCTGGCTAATTTTTGTATTTTTAGAATAGAGACGGGGTTTCACCATATTGGTCAGGCTGGTCTTGAACGCTTGACCTCAGGTGATTCAGCTGCCTCGGCCTCCCAAAGTGCTGGGATTACAGGCGTGAGCCACTGCGCCCAGCCCAAAACATTTTTAAACTAGCTGGGTGTGGTGATGCTCACCTAGTTCCAGCTACTCAAGAGGCTAAGGTGGGGGGACCATTTGAGCCTAGGAGGTCAAGGCTGCAGTGAGCTGTGATTACACCGCTGTAGTCCAGTGAGACCCTTTCTCAAAAAAGAGGGTTGGGCGTGGTGGCTCATGCCTGTAATCCCAGCACTTTGGGAGGCCCAGGCGGGAGGATCACTTGAGGTAAGGAGTTTGAGACCAGCATGGCTGACAACATAGTGAAACCCCATCTCTACTAAACACACAAAAATTAGCTGGGTATGGTGGTGGGCGCCTGTAATCCCAGCTGCTTGGGGGACTGAGGCAAGGGAATTGCTTGAACCCGGCAGGTGGAGTTTGCAGTGAGCGGAGATCCCACTACTGAGCTCTAGCATGGGCGACAGAGCAAGGCCTTATCTCATAAAAAAATATAGTCTCAGTGGTTTCTGATTGATATAGGACAAAACTGAATAAAATGTGGGAAAATGTAGCCAAAACATTAGTTTTCTTTATTACTGGTAAACTCCAGGCACCAACTTTTTCAGTTACAGATGTTTCCATAAGAAAATTGGCTGGGCATGATGGCTCATGTTTGTTGTAATCCCAGCACTTTGGGAGGCTGAGGCAGGTGGATCACCTGAGGTCAGGAGTTCAGGACCAGCCTGGACAACATGGTGAAACACCTTCTCTACTAAAAATACAGAATTAGCAGGGCATGGTGGCGCATGCCTATACTCCTAGCTACTCAGGGGGCTGAGGCAGGAGAATCACTTGAACCCGGGAGGTGGAGGTTGCAATGAACTGAGATCGCGCCATTGCACTCTAGCCTGTGCAACAAGAGTGAAACTCTGTCTCAACAAAAATAAATAAATAAAAAGGAAAAGGAAAAAGAGTGAGGGTTGTGGGGAAGGAGGGAACAGTATATTAACCAGGGATACGATAAGTGTGGGCTACACAAGTCACTGTAGAGGGTCTGGGATTGCCAGGTATTTGGTAAAAGGAAATAAGCAGAACTTAGTTTATAATGAAGAAGAAAACTATAATTTTTTTTTTTTTTGAGACAGAGTTTCGTTCTTGTCGCCCAGGCTGGAGTGCAATGGCGCAATCTCAGCTCACTGCAACCTCCACCTCCACGGTTCAAGAGAGTCTCCTGCCTCAGCCTCTTTCATAGCTGGAATTACAGGCACCCACTACCACACTCGGCTAATTTTTGTATTTTTAGTAGAGACGGGGTTTCACGGTGTTGGCCAGGCTGGTCTCAAACTCCCAACCTCAGATGATCTGCTTGCCTGCCTCAGCCTCCCAAAATGCTGGAATTATAGCATGAGGCACTGCACCTAGCCAAAAAAATACATATATATGTTTTTTTCGTGACGGAGTCTTGCTCTGTTGCCCAGGCTGGAGTGCAGCAGCACAATCTCAGCTCACTGCAACCTCCCCCTCCTGAGTGCAAGCAGTTCTCCTGCCTCAGCCTCCCTGGTAGCTGGGACTAGGGGCACGCACCACCATGCACGGCTAATTTTTGTATTATTATTATTTTTTTAAGTAGAGATGGGGTTTCACCATACTGGCCAGGCGGGTTTTGAACTCCTGACCTTGTGATTCACCGTGCCCGGCCTAAAAAATATAATTTTAAGGGGATATGACGAGTAGTAGATTATGCAGGGCTGTAAGTTTTCAAAATATTCTTGTAATGTTGGCTGGGAGTGGTGTCTCATGCTTGTAATCCCAGCACTTTGGTAGGCCGAGGCAGGTGGATCACCTGAGGTCAGGAGATGGAGACCAGCCTAGCCAACATGGTGAAACTCTGTCTCTACTAAGAATGCAAAAATTAGCCAGGCATGGTGGTGCATGCCTATAATGCCAGCTACTCAAGAGGCTGAGGCAGTAGAATTGCTTGAACTCGGAGGCAGAGGTTGCAGTGAGCTGAGATCGTGCCACTGCACTCCAGCCTGGGCGACAAGAGCAAAACTCTGTCTCAAAGAAAAAAAGAAAAGAAAAGTACTGATGGCCGGGCGTGGTGGCTCACGCCTGTAATCCCAGCACTTTGGGAGGCCAAGGCAGGTGGATCACGAGCTCAGGAGATTGAGACCCACCTGGCCAACATGGTGAAACCCTGTCTCAAAAAAAAAAAAAAAAA